CCCCTCCCCTGCTGCTTCCTGGCCCCAGCAGGGGCAGGCATTGTGGGGGCTGCTGGAAGCGGAAGCTGGGAGCACTAGGGCAAAGGATTGTATCGGGGCCCCATGGGACAGCCTGGCTGCAGCTCTTGCATCTCCCCTGGCCCTGCTCACCCTGTGCCAGGGCAGCAGCACAGTTACACCTGATAAGATACAGGAGGCAGAAGGGTCCAGGGCCCTGCCCAAAGCATTCTGCACCCCACTGCACCCTCCGGCCCAGCAGGATCCAGGGGGAGGTCAAAGGGAGCGGCTCTGCTAGGCCCCAGCCTCTCCTACATGCCTCTGAAAGTGGAAGCATGCACCAGACTGGAAGAGTGTCTGGGGTGAGGTTTTGGAAAGGGTCCCCAAGCCTCTATGTACCGTGGCTACTGCCGCATCTTCACTGCAGAATCCCAGCCCTCAGTCCCAAATGAGAGTGCATCTCTCCAGGGCAGCCGCTTCAAGTAAAACCGGCTACACTTTGACTCTGTGTTTGACAGGTGTTTGCACAAATACTGCCCTGGTGCTGGTGTTTGAGACGGAGGTGTGTCCCAGGCAAGATTTCCTGTGGCAAACGTCCCAAGGCAGGCTTCCCCTGGGCCATTTAACAGCCCTTGGTGTCCTTGGGCCAAGCCCCTTTAAAGAGCTGCTCTTGACTCTGTCCCTTCCTTTTTCCCTCTGGCTGCAGAAAGCCAAGCTTAAGAGAAGTACAGGAAAGCAGCACTGGAGGCTGACATGCCAAAAGAGCGTCTGGGTAAAGTTGGAAAGACCAGGGGCTGGGGCAAGCAAGAGATGTCCGCTGCCCTGCATGTACTTCCTAGGGACTAGCCCTTCCCAGCGGCAAGTCACGCCAGAGGATGGCACATGACTTCCCTTGCATGTAGGCTCCAGCCCCCGGGGCTGCCTGTGCTGTCCCAAGAGTCCCTGGTGTGCAGCGAAGCAGCTGCTTACAGAGGCCAGCAGTGGTGCAGAGATGGCAGAGAAAAAGAGGAGCAATGCAGAAAGCAGATGGGAGGTGGTAGGAAAGGTGCAGTGGGGCACTCCCCTGGAAATGCTTTCCCAGCACGGCACTGGGCTGAAACAAAAGGGGAGATTTCTTGGTATGAATCATAGAATCATGGAATCATTTAGGTTGGAAAAGACCTTTAAGATCGAGTCCAGCCATTAACCTAGCACTGCCAAGTCCACCAGTAAACCATGTCCCTAAGCACCACATCTACACGTCTTTTAAATACTTCCAAGGATGGTGACCCAACCACTTCCCTGGGCAGCCTGTTCCAATGCTTGACAACACTTTCGGATTGGATGCTGCCCTTTGACTGCCTGTGCTCAAGTCAGGGTCATGGTGTGGGTCACCTGTCAGGAAGTGCGTTGTCCCCATGGCAGTCCTGTGCGTCTCTGGCTCACAGTTCCCTGGAGGGACATGGCCCGGCTGATAATGAAGTGCTCAAGTGGAGGCTGTGGGACCTGGATCAGGTGCTGGAGCAGACACGGGAATACAAGAAAGACATTCATGAAGGTGAGGGCAGAGGTGGGAGAGGGCAGTGGGACAGATGCAGGGACCCCACACCCTGGTGCTGCTGGGGGAAGCCAGCCAAGCTTACCCCACCTGTCCCTTCGGCCTTGACCGTTCAGCCCCAAGCCACCCTGTTGTTGGCTAGCCCTGCTCCATCCCATGCTGTCAGCATGCGAAGGCTCTGGACATGGACTCATTGCACCCCAGATGCCTGTACTCAGCATAGGCAGAGGAAACCACAGAGGCAGAGACTTCCCTGCCTACAAAAGTCATTGCCTCGCCATTTCCATTAGTGCTCAAGAAGGGGCTGATTTTAGCAGAGGTAAAACCTCAGCCAGAGGTTTGTGGTCTTTGCCACATGCAAAACTCCGTGCTCATTTTCACTCTCCCGCGCTCAACAGAGAGGTAAAACTTTCCCTCCAGGGCTCCTTCCTGCCCCCCCATCCCCCCGGCATTGTCACAGCCCTGCCAGGCAGGGACAGGGTACATGCACGGCTGCTTCTGATGCATCACCCTGCAAGGGGAGCCCTCAGGTCAGGCCTTGCTGGAGCCCCTGCCTGGTTACAGGTGCTGGGATCCAAGCACAAGGACTGCCTGTTTGTCCCTCCTATAGTCACCACCTTTGTTCCCTTCTCCCCTCCTTGACTCCCAGAAATGACCTGGCAATACCAGGAGCTGCAGAAGCAGACAGCAGCCCACAGCCAGCGCTTGGAGGCGAAAGTGAAGAGCGTGTAGGAGCAGCTCGGTATGGCCCCCCGGCATGCCTGCCCCTCGCTGGTGGGTGAGGATGGGGTTTGCTCCAGGGCAAAGGGCACTTGGGGGGAGCGAGGGGAGATGGGAGTCATTTCACCCTGTACTGTCAGTATGGCAGCAGCTGAAGGCAAAGCCTGACCCAGTGCATCCCCGACCTTGGGAGATGCTGACTGCAAAGGGGATGCTGTGATCCCACCCCTGTTCCACAGCCCTCTGTCACCCTGGGGATGAAGGGGATTGGGCAGGGGCTGTGCCGCACACTGCCCGTGCTCTCCCGTGCACTGGTCACGCAGTGCCAGTCTCCTGTGCCCATGTGCTCAGTATCCCCTGCCTCTGTCCCCACACACCACAGCCACTAGGCTCCAGGAGAGCCAGCAGACCCAGGAGACTGCCACGCAGGCACTAGCAGAGAGGGACAGGACCATTGCCCAGCTGCAGGGCAGGCTCAATGCCATGGAGAGGGAGTATGAGAAGGTCCTCCATGTGAGTGGGGATGTGGCTGTGGGTGGCTCCCCTGGTCCTGCCTCCTCATGGTCCTCTTTCCCACCAGGGTAGCCTGGACCTTGTGCTGGCCAAGATGGCAGAGGCCAGCCAGCGCTGGGAAGAGGTAGGAACAACCATCGCCGTGGAGCACAAGGAGTGCCTACAGGAGTTCGGCCTCAAGCCCCTGGAGATATAGTGCCTTGGGGACCCCCGGGATAGGACAGGCTCTCAGCCCCTACCTCCCTATCAGCACACTTGGAGAGCTTCCCACATCCACTGCCCAACACCCCAGCTGCCCTAGGCTAGGAAAGAGAAGATGGGTCCTGTCTGGCCCTGGGATGCACTGCTGAGTCACAGTCCTCTCCATAACATTATCCACATGAACAGCAGTGTGGATTTGTCCTTTAATCACACCCCAAATAGGTGACGCAGGAACAGTGCTGTGATGGGGGGCAGCCACTCACTGCCCACAGGTTCACAGGGAGGATGAGAGGAGGAGCGTAAGAGACATGTCCATGCAGGTGCAGATCTGAGCAACAGGCTGAGAGGTGGGGGGTTCCTCCAGCACCCCATCAGGCTCCACTGCTCCCTTTCCCCTTCACACAGCGGCCCAAAGGCCAGCCCTGGGCTGAGCCAAGCCTCAGGCTCCCCAGTCCCCTGGGTCATGGCGTGGAGGGCAGTGCCTCGGCTCTCCTGGGAGCTCCCAGAGCCTGGAGCTGGGCAAGGGCTTCAGCGCAATGTCCCTAGATACCCTTGGAGGCAGCTGGGCAGGCAAAGACACAGGTCTGTCTTCAGGTTACAAGAAGCCACCGCCACGGTTAATAAAAGCTTGGAGCCAGCCTCAGTGTGGAGATGAGTCTCTGGGAGGTGTGATGCTGCGAGCCCCATTGCAGGCATGGAGACACAGCAGCTGTGCATGCAATGGCCATGCTGAGCAGCGCTGTGCTCTCCAGGGAGCTGGGCAAGGGGCATGGATGGGCTGGACGTGGCCTGGGTCGAGGTGCTGTGTGGGGGAGCCTGGCCGGAGGCAGGGTGCGCCTGGGCCACTAGAACGCCTGGTGCAGCCTCCTCTGCTCCTCCCGGCGTGGGCTCTGTGGGGACACCGTGGGGGCATTGTGGGCAGCACACATCCACCCACCCCACGACACTCCACCCTTGCCCCATGGGCAGGTTGGAGGGGTCTTTCTGCCTGGCCCCTGTGGCCAGGGAACCATGCAGCCCCCTCCTGCCAGCGTCAAAGGTGCCATGGAAATACTAGGACAGGCAGGGCAGGAGGGTGCCAGGACTCAGAGCAGTGCCGGGCTGTGAGCAGCACTGCCACGAGGGCCTGGCAAGAGACGTTACCTGTGTGATCCCTATATTGTTGGCAGCAGCCACCAGCCAGGAGCCAGGTCCCTTTGGTCCCACCTCAACGTGACAGAGTCCAGGGGAGCCACTGGGAGAGGGCAGGGAGGGCGTGTGGGAGCCTGAGGCAGGGTCACTGTCCTCAAAGAACAACAGAGGGGACAGCCCGATCTGGAAGAGCAGAAGAGGGATAGCCGTACAGCTCCTGGTTCTCCACGGCAAGCCAGGTCCCCTAGAAAGGACCTCACTGCACAGGCTTGGGGGCAAGACACCCATCCCCCGTCATCCAGCCTCACCGCACCCCACGCCGGGTCCCCAAAACCTACCGACTGGTAGAACTCATCACCAGCAGGGTCAATGACCAGCAGTGTCACCTGGTCATCATGGGCACGGATCCTGAGCACTGTCTGCTGGTGGTCCAGCCCCTCGATGCTCTCACCGTTCACAGCCAGGAGACGGTCCCCTTCCTTCATCCCTGCCTGCTCAGCCGGCAGCCCCGCATCCACGTCCCACAGGAATTGGCCTGCCACAGCAGGACAGAGGGAGGGTGGGGAGATGCTCACAGAGGCATTCAGCCAGAGGGGAACTGGCACCGCTGACCCTTGTGTGCAGGTGGGGACAGGGTCCCGCTGTGGGCACAAGGCTTGCAGCTATTCCCGACCCTCAGACGTGCCCTTGCCCAGGTACAGACTGCCCCCCCCCCCAGCCCCTTCACCTCTGGCCCCTGAGCTGCAGTCATCCTCTTTGAGCAGAAACCCGTAGCCAGCCGGACCCTTCAGCATGTGCAGCTCCCGGACCTTGAAGGGGAGCCAGGAGGTGTCCGCCAAGGCGGCCGTGACCCGCAGGCCTTAAAACTCCTCCACGGCACTGGACACCACCAACAGTGTCACCTTGCTGCCGCTCTGCTTAAGCTGAGTGGGAAATGCAGGGTGCTCAGCAACATTGCCAGCTCCGGTCCCCCACCCACCTGTGCCGGGAGCACGCACCTTTCGGGCGAGCTGCGTGTGCGAGTAGCTCCTCACGCTGTCCCCATTCAGCTCCAGGAGCCAGGAGCCTGGCGGCACCCCTGCTTTCTCTGCTGGCCCATCCTGACGCACCGACAGCTGGAAGGTGCCCTTCACGCCTGCAGGGAGGAGAAGAGGCAGTCTGGGGCAAGCAGGGCACTGCATTGAGGAGGCCTGCGGCCCTGGCATCCCACTGCTTGCTTTCCCTTCTGGACCCGACACATTGAAGCCAAAACCACTTTTGTCCCGCGTGATGTGGCAGAGGCGTGGGCGGACGTCAGCTGGCAGCATCTGGGACAGGTCCCTGCCCAGGGCTTTGGCTGCTTCGTAGGAGTCGCCGTCCAGCACCGCCAGTAGGACCTGGTTCCCACTGGCCTTGATCTTCTGCACCACCTGGAAGGACCCAGGCTGTGAACCCTGGGCAGGGTGCCCCTCCAACCACAGCCTGTGGGATCAGGGCCCCAGAGGGTAGGGGGGTCCCACACCCTCTGTGCCCCTGGCCGGGGATGATCTGGGCGTTCCCACAGCCCCGGGGTGCTCCCAGCTTACCCTGCGGTGGTCCATGTGGTCCACGAAGTGGCCATTAACCTGGAGGAGCCGGTCCCCATCCTGCAGGCCCCTGCGCTGGGCCAGCCCCCCCAGCTCGACCTGCCGGATGACGTGGCCCTGGCAGCCCAGCTCCTCGTGGAGGCAGAAGCCGAAGGTCTCTGCACTGCCCTTGCTCAGGAGGTAGAAGCGGGGCTCCCCCATGCTCTCGCCATCTGCGTGGGGGCACAGCCCATGAGCAGGGCCCTGCAGGGATCCTGACACAGGTTCTCTACCCCACCCCGGCCTGGGATCTCCCCATCCCCACTGCCTTACTTGTTCACCCCCCCACAGATCCCCGGCATGAGAGAGCCCAGAACCCCAGCGATGTCCAGCTGCCAGAACCCCGTGCTGACACAGGGATGCCCTGGGGAGATGAGGGTATTTACCCATGTCCTCAGCCAGCGACAAGGCAGGGTTGTCGATCCCATCTTTAGGGTTAAATTCAAATTTTCTGAAATGATAAAGGGCAGGAGAGGCCACATTAGTGCAGCAGCGTGGCCTTCCCCCCACCCTCCCCAGCCCTTTTGTGGGGAGCCCCGTTCCTCCTCCCAGAAAGGGCCAGCCAGGGCCACAGCTCCAGTGCCTCCTCTTCCTTGGGGAAAGCCAGGAGGGGATGCCTCTCTCGGACTGTCCCCCACATCTCTCCTGAGATAACAACTCAGGGAAGACCTCCCTTGGGCAGGCAACTGGGATTGGCAGGCACGACCCACACCACCTCCGCTGGGGAGGTGG